AAGATCATTTATTTAAACATTATCTGGTGTTATGTTTTGTTATGATAATGATAAATATAATCTATTGTAAAACATTTATATTTTATAATGAATGGAATTAAAATTTATTTTATAAGACGAATTAAATTTTCATATCAGAAAAAAAAATTGTTGATTATCATCTCAAATTTTAATATAAGATTTGAAAGCCGATCGACTACAGTTTTTACTTTTTTTTCTCGACAAAAATTGAACGTAAATTGTATTTAAGTATTGGTAATATTGCATTAATAAATGATTAATATTTTCGTACTCAAATGTCAATATTTTTAAAAACCAAGGTTGAGTATAACAGAATGTCTATGTTATGTTGCAAACATTGATTTAGTGTGTAATGTATTCCAAACACTTGCGTGAATGATACGCAGTTTACGTGGGTTTGAAGTACGATATACAATTTAATAATAAAAATATGATACAAGCTAAAAAATTCTGATTTGTTTCTTTCTTTATAATCACAAATTATAATAATAATTAAATAATTGTAGGTTGATGGTTGACTGTACTGAACAAGCGTTGACAGACGAACAGGGTGGTCTGCCCACGCTTGTCGATAGCACAGCCCTGATGAAGGCCTGAACTTCGGGCCGAAACGTCGGCCAATGTGAAAATAAATACAATTCTTTATTTTTACTATTTTATTTGGACAGATCATCCCAACCATCCTTCTCTTTAATAATTAAATAGATCTATTCCTTATTTAAGGTTGGCTGATTTTGCATTTTTCATAAAAAATAATTTGAGGTCTCTCGATAGGCCCTGGCCATAGTAATATGTGTGAGTGTGTGTGCGTGCGTGCATTTACAGATCTAAGCAAACGGAAGGAAATAAAAAGAATTAATTTTTTATTTTTAATTACATATCTTTCGAGATGAATGTCTTCTTTGGTCAACCACATGTTTATTCATTGCACACTGAAAGGAAAAAATGAAGAATAAATCGTTTCCGCTTTTTAAAACATATAACTATATTCCTCACGACCTCGCTGCATCTTCATCTCTAGATGGTTCGTCAACGTGCGCGTGTATGTTGTTAAAACTTTTCATTTACTTATATGTTATATTTAATTTGATAATCACTGTGTATAATTTTTCTTTTTTGTTTGTTACAGGTGAGTAGCAATTTTCCTAGAAATCATTCAGTGGCTTCACGTTTCATGTTTAAACTGCTTAGTTGTTTAACAGTAAAGTATTTAAATTAAAAAAAAAAAATATTTTAATGTTTGTATGCGTATATATATATATATATATATATATATATATATATATATATATATATATGTATATTTATTTACGTTAATTTGTAGAGGATAGCTATAATAATTAAACTATTTAGATCCAAAAGTACTTTTCCTTAGTCATGTTATGTTTTCTTGTATAGAACAATAAAATATATAAAAGAAGTCAATGGTTAGTGCTGTTGTTAATAGAATAGATAATATAAGATACTATAAAACATTTAAGTTATATACTATGTAGGTACTGTTAAAATATTAAAAGGTTTGTGGAATAGACACATGAGCAAATATCTAAGATAACATGTGTTTGTTTGTGATTAAACATCCTTCTGTACCAGTTGATTGGACAAGGCAGGAGTAAGTGGTTAACCTTCAGGTAACTTATTCCTATTCTTTCTAGCTAGAGTGAGAATAGGGAAGTTCATTCCGTTGATCTGCTTCGAAATAAATTTCAACCCGCCCTGGCTGGATTCAAATCGGAATCGCTTCTTAATCTCCTTTCGTACTTATCCGGCAAACACCTATCCTACCTCTAGGTTCCTTAGACTTTGTCCCAGAATAAAATTATTTTCTATTCTATTCTATTCTAAGACACTATTTTTTTTTCATTTTTTTTTTTTTTTGGTCGATTAAGGCGAAGCCAAAAAGAGAGTTCTGTGTTTTAGTCGACCGCTTAGATTTTGTAATGATTTTTTGAGAGAATGAATCAATATACTTTTTTAAAGTTAGTTGGTTCACATTACTCAGTGAGATTTCTTTAATGTTTTGATACGAACCCAAAATACTGGGAAAATATTCAATTATATTATATATTAGTTTCTCATCATACGGTATATATGTCCGTGACATAGTAGTACTTTAAAAACTAAACACGTTAGAATAATCGATTACAGTTAGTACTGATGCTTCTCAACATCCGAATGTTGAACAAAATCTTGAGTTACGTTAGTCAATTTTTTTAATGTTAAAACCGTTCTGAGTTCATTTTTATTATCTTATATAGGACATGAGCACGAAATAATGCCTGTAGCAACTGAGTATCAACAACTGGAAAGAGTTCAAAGTTAAAACGTTTTAATGAGTAATATCTTCAATTATGATGAAATAAATTAAACTTTCTGTTCGAATTGTAACTTGAATACTTATCCTAGTAATATCGTAGGAATTAACCTTCTGGACAGTACCGGGTTTAGACATTTTTCGCCCCTGGACATTGACGTCATTTTCCTCCCTCCGATAAATTAAATTTATTTCTTATACTGTTTTATATTAAGTATGAATTTTATTTTATTCAATAGGACTCTAATTGGGTTTTGTTTATGTTAGGCTCGCCAGTTATTTTATCTAATAACAGTTACTTATTGATAAATTAAAAAATATGGGTTAAAGAAACATATGATTTATTTAATAGGAACTTTTTATGCATAACCAAAAACATCAACATACTTTTAATGCTACTCCTATGGAGTATTTACCTTTGGAAGCCAAAATTCTGCTACGAGCTTAAGTATTTTATAAAAATCGTCTTCATTTGAGTTTCTCTGCCTCCACATGAACTCACATAAATACGAGTCTAACATAGAGCGACAAGCTCCACATTCCTTATAGTTTCTCCTTTTAGCCTATGCCCACATAGACTTTGCCTATATTTTGGAGATAGATTTTATGGTTTGGATTTTTTTCAATAATAACCTAACATTGAATATAATGTTATCTTACCCTTACATAGGTATATTTAGTGATTAATTTCTATCATATATGGTAGATTTAAGCATTTTATTGTTATTTATTATTTTTAAGTATTATTCAATTAAACCGTTGTAATTTATTAAATGATATTTCAGTTTAATAAAAAATAATCTTTTTTACTAAACATTATATTGGTTCAATAACTATATTGTTTAATTAACTTCATGGAATTTATTGAAAGTGTTATGGGACCATCATCTAGACACCAACCCGCACAATTCCTGAAAATTTCATGAAAACCGGATAAACGGTAGTAGGTGATATGCCTGTCACATCGATTTGACTACAAAATGTGCACTCATAGAATACAATAACAAAAAAGTAAAAAATTAAAATTTTATATCTGGCCAAATAAAAACAAACATAAAAAATAAAAATAAATAGAAACGAGCAAAGAAAATATTAGTTAAACATAGTATATACAAAATTACAAAAAAAAATCTATATACAAAACTCTTGAAACCATCTTGTGGAAAGGGAGTGGACTTAGGACTTGAATTGGAGAAGGTTGTTGGCGTAAGAAGGACGATGATTGTTGATGATTTGATAGAGGAACGTAGCTAGGAAATATTGTCTTCGAATGGAGGGGAAGAGACACTTTAACTCAGTGTAGTGGTGAGACACATGGGAGTATCTCGGGGCACCAATTACAAATTTTAAGCAACTGTTCATTAGTCTTTTCAGTCTGTCACGGAGCTCCACCGAGAGTCCATCATACACCACACAACTGTAGTCAAAGTGGGGGAAGATGAGAGAGGGAACCAAGAGTCTACGCGTATGTTGAGGAAGGAGATGGTGGTAGTGAAGGAATAGTTTGAGGGTAGATATTGTCCGTCGGAAGATGTGAGAAGTATGGTGATTCCAGGAGACGATCTGATTAATGAAAAATCCTAAATTTTTGACTGAGGAGTAGAAGGAGATTGGCTGGTCACCAAGGTTCAAGAAGTCAAGAAGTATTAGGACAGTTAATTGTTGATTATCTATTGTAGTCTGAACAGCATTGGTAATTTTGATTAAGGCGGATTGTGTGGACTAGCCGGAACGGAAACCATATTGGAGAGGAGCAAGTTGGTTGAACTCATCATAGTGTAGTGACTAGCGTACTATACTGATTTGTTGATGTATCCCTGTTCAAATCTGGTTCCCCTACAATCCTTGGCTAACTTTGATGGCCGAGCGGGCTAACGCTTTTGCACAGCATCGCGCGTTGCCTGGCAAACATAGTGGAAGGTTATGTGATAAAATAATATCTAGTTCTCGTCCCGGTGCCAAGGGGGGTCTTGTACCTCTGGAATTAACCTCCCGCTCTTACCCCCTTTTCGTATAGAATACTCCAACTGACCAACTAACCGAAGTTGTGTGTTCAGATGAAGTTTATATGGAATTTAAAATGGTTATAGTCCATATCTATTGGCCTTACATTTCACTGTACCAACACTCTCGTTTAGGTTATCTACTCTCCTTTGTGATAAACCTAAAAACACAGATTATTATGTTTCATTAGTGGTAAGTATAGTGTAGGAACAAGGATCGTGCTTTATATAATAGAATTTGATGAACATTGATTTATCCCATGTAGTTTTTAATATTCTCTGTATTATTTATCAAAGTAATATATAAAGCTATAAGTCTTATATTGTTACTACTGAATAGTCTATGAGTTTTCATTGTTAAAAAATTATTTGTTGGGATGTTAATATCGTAATCAATGGAATTACTGAAGTATGGTTAGGTTATAACTGTGACGTCATATTACAACACATGATGCATGTGGTGCCTACATATCTCTAACAAACTAAATAAAACCACTGCCACAGTTAAACAAAACGGTGGTGACATGCGTTAACGTGAAATTTGACTCATATGATGAAGAGTTAGATGATAGTTACTTAACCTACCTACCTCACTATCGATAGTTCATTTTGTCACTGTACCAATGTATTGCTCATTGCAAGAGTACGTAATGTGTAGGTACCTTTTAATTATCGGTTGTAGAATCATTTTATCTCGTTCTCATCACTTGTAAGTCTCCCCGCGAGTCCTCCGCGTTACTCTGATATGGCAATCAGCGGCAGTACAGACCTCGACCGAGATTACGGATGTCGTAACCGCACTAAACAAGACAAGATACCTCAGGAATTAGTAAACAGGGTAGGGAGTGGGGAGTCCCTAAGTGGTGGGGGGCAGTAGGCGCCAGTAGTGTCTGTGTAGTGCATGTGTATTCTCTCCAGTGTCTTCCATGTCTTCTGTGTCCAGTATCTTCGTGATCCATGTAGTTCATCCATGTCTCCAGTAGGCCGTCGCCTCGTCGGTAAGTCTGCTGGAGGCAGCTGGCAAGTTGCATTGGATGGAGTGGGTTTCTTCTCAACTGAAAATACATGTTTCATATTTAGGACACTGAATGTTTTTTGTTTATACCTTAAAGATTTTATAAATAAGTTCTTTAAAAAATATTGAAATGATAATAACCTGTTATTGGTGATAATATTACTGTTAAATTTATCAATATCTCTAACAGTTGAGAAAAATCACATTCTTTCTTATTTATTTCACTGCCATTAGCTACAACAATCATTTGTTGAATTTATATACTATATATTCGTCTTTCCCTCTTACTGAAATAATAAGTTAATGGTCCTACAGTATTATTCAGTCTCTTGTATTTGTCCAAATCTGAATTTTAAACTGTAAAAATAGGCCGTAGTTGTAAAGGTCTTTAGCATTGGCAAACCACAATTCATCTGATAGAGTTAAAGGAAAAGGAATATAATATTTAGTTGAATTCAGCAAAGCGTCAAATTATAAAATCCAAAGTAAAGCCGACACAATGTCGTTGATTGATTACATTCGCCACACCTCTTTTATACACTAATTTTTGGATTTTTTAAAATACAATGAACTGAAAACCATTTTTGTGAAGAATTATGTCATCAATATAAAAATTATTGTGTTTATGTTTTGTTGAATACATAAATGTAAGACAATTTTTTAACAGCATCAAAATTGTGAAGTTATTATACTTATTTTAATGTAAATAACTAATTTCTTTTAATAAATATAACTAATTTCTATTTGAATCTTTAAAGATTTAAAATTAAAAGAGTCGCAATTTACGTGCAAGTAATTGGAAATTTGTACGTCTTTTTAAATTTATTTTTCAGATACTTCGTTCCTTTAAAAATATCTAATACGAATCTACTAAACACAGAAATTCAGTTGTTGTTTTTGTAATATTTTAAATTTTATTAAGCCTTTTACGGATAGGTTTTTTTTTTTCTGAAGCAGTGTTATTTTTTAGTTTTTTAATCAGAAATACAGAATTTATGTTATATTATTCACTAATAATTAAAAAATGTGTAGAGTTTGCTTAACTAATGTTGAGTAATTATTTGTATAATGTGTACAGCAGAATTTGTTATCCCGTTTCCACGGCAACTGATAAGATCGGCCGGCGTCGAAAAATTCTACTATCGATATATAGTAGGTAGAATCGATAGCTGGCTATCAGTTGACCTTGAACAGTCTTCAATGAGATACAGTGTGTGTGCGATATTGTTAAGAGTTTTATGCCTTCTCACAGCGAAGTAACCTTAGTGTTTATGGGATGCGTTTTATTTTATCGCATAATTAAAATTCATTAAAAATATATTTTTAATGCTAAATTGGGCATATATTTAAATGAATTATTTTTGAAATATATTATATGAACGAGTGGGAATTAAAAGCTGAATACTATGCTACTACGATAGTGTTATTTTAATTTATTTATTTTAGAATGGTAATTTCATTACAAATAAATTTTGTTACATATGGAATGTACGGTTCTTGAAATCTTTTTTCGTTTCTTTTACAATTATTATGAATATATTCATATAATGTCTATATGATCGAATTCACGATTAAAACTCATACAATAGATGTAAAATGCATATAACTTTTTATATTTTTACTAAGATGCCTAAAGTTTTATTTTGGCCAGATGTAGTCTTTTAATTATGTTCTATTTTGTAATTCTAAAGGGACTTTGTCCCAGAATAGAGTTATTTTCAGTTCTATTCTATTCTAAAATTTTAGAAATTTAGCAAATTTATTTATTTAATTTAAGAATTTTATTTTATTTATTGAACTACATAGGAGTTTATCCAAATAGCAAAATGTGTCTATTGAGGAATTTGGATTTAAACTATTTTCATTAAAAAACATTATATTCGTTATTTTTATTTACTTATTTTGGAATTTGTTTAGTTTGTCTCGCCTATAATTTAGTTCTTTATTAGAATTTTCTATTAGAAGAATTGTATTTTAGCGCAGGGCTTTAGTTACTTTAAAAAAAAAATCTTTATAATTAATGTTGACAGTGTTAAAATTGACAGTGTTTCTTTAGGCTTGGATTTGTTTTCCACCAAGCTGTTCCTTTTATTTATGCTTATTCGCTAGTAATTCCACCATTTGAAGTATGATGTGGTACTTCATGATAACCAACCTTTCAGGGCATATATATGTATTTATATATATGTACGTCTTGAGATATTTTTGCCTTCTTTTTTTTCAATAAAGTAGTTTTTATGGTGTTTTAATAATTTAAACTTAACCATAAATAACCATCGATGAGTATCAAGTAATCAACAGATTACAAACCATATTTTTTAAAATTTATTTCTTATTTATTTATCTTTTGTATGCTTGTATTGTATCAGTGAACACTTGTAGCCCTACTACTTAGTGCCCTTCAATGTGGCAGATTGTATTATTATTTTCAATAAAATTCTGTCTAAAAAAAAAAATTAAATAACTAATTTAAATCACAGTTTGATGATGTATTAATGTCACACCGTTTTCTTTTTCCTGCAAGATGTCTTCCAAGATTTGGCTCATGTTTAGTTTCTTATTTATGACCGGCTTATGTTTAAATTTCACGAATATATGTTTCACTGTTCTAAGGGCACACCTGACACATGTTGGCGTTCTAGATCGTTTATAAAAAAATTTGGTGTGACCGGTTCGGACGTGGCTCTGGATTATCTCATCTCTTTTTTATTTTCTAGTAATTGGGAACAATTTGACAATATTTATTTGTATCTGTAGTAGTTTGAAGGGTTTCCTTCTCTAGGGCTAATTCATTCAGTATTAGGGATTCCACTTGGTTCACCCAGTCCGCTCCAGGAATATATTATATCGATTTTTACCTGATTATTATTACCTGTTCGAACCGATCGGGATGCGAAATCCGCTTTTTCATTTCCCTTAATACCGCCCACTATGGAAAGCTATTACTCTACTTTCCGATTAATTTTCTAAGTAATCTTTAAAATTTCCGTTATCGTCGCGTGTTTAGATGCTTGATTTCTGATTGTCAGTAATTTGCAATGATTTATTTTTGGGGAATATGTTGGCAATGTAGACCTTCCTTTATGGCAGTTACCTATCCCGTAAAAATTAGCAGGCTCCTGGAAATATAAGGGCAAGCTGTGTTTTCTTTGATCTCCGGATATTGAGTCCTCACCTTTCGATGCGCTTGCGTACATAAGTTCGTGTTCCTAAAATCCTTTCGAAAGCAGCAGGAAAATTTTTCGAACTTTTATACGGTTTGATAAATTAATTTTACTACTAAAATATTTGTAATGGTTTTGTAATAAAACTACAGGAATCTATAAACTTATTTAAGCCGATCTGATTTTTGAATAATGCAAGAACTTATAAGAAGTTCAATGCTGAAAGTGCTAGATCGTATGTCTGCTGGAGAGCTTAAAGAGGATAAAAGGATCTTGAGGGCTTGGAGGAATTTATTAAAGAGCATTCATTTCAGCGCTCGACTGCTACAGAAGAGTCGGTCTGTTTCAGGATCTTGTTTCCGTCAACTGTTCCTCCCTTGGCCTCAGTTTAGAAGGTACAGACATTTGCTAAACTTTATTTTACATTGTAGTTCATTTCGTTGAATAATAAGCGGTCGATTTACCTATTTTATAGAGACTCATTCATGTACAACTTCAAATTTACTTGAGGTTATAACTAACAGTTGAAAAAATAGTTGTGATTACATTGTTTTATAGAAGATCTGATATCTCAAGCCTCTCAACCCGAATTGTTTTATTAATCTGTGCTTAACTATTAACTAGTATTAAATGGAAAAGTCAACAAAATAAATAATAATAATCATAAATAAATGACTGATTATCTTCCTTACTGTGGAGGACAGCTACACTTTCTAACATTTAACTTATCCCATCCATTCTGTCTGAAGTCCTTCAAACAATATTCAGTGCTCCATATTATGTTACAAACAAGACTTTATATCTCGATACTTATATCGCAAATTTAAATTAAAATAAAAAAACTTGAACTTATTAAACCCAAATTTTCAAAGTTGTATTATAACACTTTACTTATCTTCGTAGAACTTCATATCAATCCATAGCTAGCTCTAACCATCCCTATATTATTCTTCGATGGTTGAAACGGCAGTGGTCTGTGACTTACAAATAAGCAATCGGAGTTCTGGCAATGTCCAGCCCCTCGACTCAAGTTCTGCACGGGCATCTGTTTTGCCTTTACACAGTATCCACTGGCTTTCAATAACATACATAGGGAAGCGGTAATATGATATACTCCTCTCATATTTTGCCAAGGAAATATGAAAGTTCATTTGATACAATGTAAAAATTGTGCGTTATTATGAATATGCTTTTTTATTTTTACGAAGTTTTACTTTTCTTTATTTTATTTGTTTAATTCTTTTGACATTATGAGATTTATATATTTATGTTATCTCTGATTTATTTTGTTATAGTTGTACAATATTGGGGGGAAGAGCGGTACATGCTTTATGACCGGGAACCCTGTTGTGTATAAACGTTCAGTTGGGAGGAATATTTTTGAATGGTATAATAGCTAATACTGTTAATGATTTTTGTTAAATTAAAGATATTCCTGAAATGACAATCGTTGTTAATTGTGTTAGTTTTAATAGATACAATTATACCATGTAATTATAAGCGGTGGGCCGGTCTCAGGTCATGACTCAGTGTCTATCGCCGGTAGCCGACGAGGTCCTCGGGTGCAACTGTTCCGAACCTCGTTGCCTCGTCGAGAATGGGTGTAGCCGAGGGGGTGCGATTCTCTCTGGTCGCTCATGAGGAGTTCAGGGTAGTCGTGGGTTATTTCTGTTGAAGCTGGCTGAGCAAGTGAGGTCGAGGCAGGCTGCTTTATCAAGCACCTAGACCTCGTACTTAGATAACGCCGTCCTCGAGAGGGATAAGACTAGATGGGTCCAGAGGACCCCCGTTTTTAACAAAACCAATATAAAAATATATAATAACTAATAATTATGGATTTAAGGAATAATGATGGAATCCAACTTGAAAAAGCAGACAGTAGTGGTTCATTGATGAGGGCTGTGAGGCACTTATCACAACGAAATGCACGACAAGATGTGGAAACCTCCTTTCTGAGCCTTTTCATGGTACCAAGGGATTGAAGCAAGGAATGATGCAGGAAGAAAGGATGCAGCATGTCACCAACTCTCTTTAAGATATACTTGCAGGAGGCAGTAAACCCGTGGTAAGAACAATGCGGGGACGTTGGGCCATTTATTGATGGCGAGCAATTGCTGTCCTTGTTTTTCGATGACGACCAGGTCGTGTTTGCGCTAAGGAATTCACGAAACGCTGGATTAAAGATCAACTTCAAGAAGACCGAATACATCGCCATAGGCGAGGCGGATACTGGAGCACTTCTAGTGGACAAGGAGTCTTGCAAAAAGGTTAGTATTTTCAAGTAACTGAGTTCTTATCTCGACGCTACTGGGCCTTCTGAGCATGACGTCAGAAGGAGGGTGGGACAAGCCCGTAAGGCTACCCGAATCCTACATCCAGTTCTCTGGAACACCCAGCTTTTTGCCGAGAACAAGCGTAGAACATTCACAGCAATACTGGAAGCTATTCTTACATATGCCTCAGAAACATGGACCATGAACTCCCGTTAGTACTCAAAGCTGCTGGCGGTCGAGATGGATTACTGGAGAAGTTGTCTCGGTCTTACCAGGCTGGAATTAATTAAGAATGTGGTAGTTCGACAGAGAATGGATGTGGGTACATCGGTTAGTGAAAAGCTCGGGGCACGCTGCCTAAGATGGTACGGGCATGTAAGAAGAATGACGGAGGAATGTTGGCCGAACCAAGTCCTGGTTAGGTTCCGCCTGGGAAGAGAGGATGTGGACGGCCCAGAAACGGATGACGGAAGGAGAGGATCCAGGAGGAAATGGTCTGAAGGAAGGTGATTGGCGAGATAGAAGCGCGTGGAGCTCTGCGTTGACTATAGTAGAAGTAAATCCAACACTAATTACTCCGTACGAATAATTTGCATAGTATATTGATCAATGAACAATGGGCAAATAATATAAAAATAAGTTAGTGTAAAATATTATGAGAGCTAGGAATTAATTTTCATTCAAAATAATAGATCGAATCATGTGTAAAAATTACGCGTGGCTGTAATTTTTACTTTGATAAAAATTATCCGATTTCTATTATTTTATTTGGAGACCTTAATCATCATTAATTATCACGGGCTCTCGTAGAAACCAGTTCACTTCTTATTAATTTTTCGAATAATCAAGAACTATCCATCATATGGAATATTGACTGGAACGTCTCTGGAGCAGAAATTTGCTACATTTAAAAGAAAGGTGTTATAACAGTTGCTCTAGAATCTGAGTTGGATTGCTCGCAGTCGTTTAGATGACAACAAACAGACATTATAACTGACCGTTTAAGGAAGTTGCTCGTTTAGCTACAAATTAAGATGTATCCCGTAGGGCAGTGACATCACCAGTTCCATACATCACCTAGTTAAGACATTCTGGTCTCTTTGGATTAGTTCTTTATTTGAGGCCAAAAGATGTTTTTATTGTTTCTTCTTGATTACTAATCCCATGGAACTATTCCATGGAAATAGTTCAAGCAATCAGTAGATTTCTTTATTATAAAGGTAAATATTATGATTGGAAACATTTAATTGGTCACTTAAGTATGGATCAATTCCTATCAGGGATTGAACTTTTTTAAAAATTTCTATTTTAACAGTTTCTGCAAAACATTAAAGGAAAAAGTTCTTATATAAAAGTTGTTAGGAGTTTTTTTTTGTAATAAAGTTCCAGGTGTGTCATAAAGGTTTAACTTGTATTTATTCAATCATTAATAAATATTTCGTTAAATGAAAAATAAAACAATTTGTCTTAAATGAATTACACAAGATTTCGGGACCCTATTACCCTTAAAACAATACAGCTCCTTGTAAGCTTCCTTATATTCCTCCACTTCGACTACGTCTGCTTGGTGTATCTGTCAGGCTAGAAATAAGATTAAAGAAACTCATGAACTCTTTCATAAGATACATCTTTGGAACCCACAAGTGTTCCCATGTACTGTTATACGTAATTGAAGAGGCTTTATCCGATTACCCGAAGACAATTCCTCCTTGGCGTTTTCCTTTTCCAAGTCCTCAGTACCAAAAATCCTCCCTACGTCCTGGAACTCCTTACTCTTCGTTCCTCTATTCACTCTCTCAATATCAGGTCTCAACCTATAGATTTATAAATCTCCTCCTATAAAACTGCTTTCTTCAGAAAATCCTTCTTCATTCGTACTACCTCCTTTTGGAACTCTCTACCTAACTCCGTACGTCAATCCTCATCCACAAAGTCCTCCAAACAACTCCTGTTCCACCACCTACTCCATATTTAAACTTTCGCAACCATGTAAAATCTACTTGATTCTGTACTGTCTAATTCAATCAACAACACAAGTGCAATAACGTTCAGCAGTTAATTAGGCATCATTTTGTATTGGTCTAAGCCAGACTAATGTTCTTAATTATGTAACTCTATTATTATTCTTAGAGGACTGTAGTCCCAGAATAAAATTATTTTTTCATTTCATGAGTCTAATGTGTCATTTGAGTAGTTAAGATTTTGTTTGTCATTTTTTGATCGATTTTTTAGCGAAATCAAATTTTAAATAAAAGCTTTTTTTTTTAAATAAGGTTTACAAACCTTTAGGGCAAAGTTCTAGTTACAAAAGAACTGAAATAAAAATTACGACGATACGCTTTTTAAAATAAATATTTTTTCCTTTTCAAGCCTAAGGATTCCTATTACGGAGACCTCGTTAAAGATCGCAGTTACATTACCACTTTAGATAATAAATATTTGAAAAATCAATATTTTTAACATTTTTTTTTACAAATGAAAATGGTATTTATTATAATATATCTTAGGTCATGAGAGAAAAAATAAATTAAGGAATTTTCGCTCACAACATGGGTACTTTAATATGATAGGATATCAAAACATCTCATTTTTTTTACACAACTTGAGGTGAATCTCAACTTATTTCACAATAAACCCTCAATTTAATTATTATAGACTTAAAGCTCGTTAAAGAAAATTTTTTTCTAAAGGATGGGGTATATGTAGTATAGTTGTTGGGTAATATATAAAAAAATAAAATTTCATAATATGGGTGTGTGT